AATAATCAAGTAAATGTGAAAAATTGTAAAATAATATAGGCCTAATTTGTTATACATATGTATTATCTAAGATTTTATTAAACATTTTTTTCTAAATTATTGTTTTCTTTAGTCTCCGGCCCCAATTAAAAATTATTTGTATGTATTTATATGCAAAATTATACCCCGACTTATGCGGTTACTGCTCGGTCCCACCTATCACGTAAGTTCGAGGTATTACTGTACCATTAATATAACCAAAAACTAAATTATTTACTGCAGAATTGGGCATAATTGATTCATCAATATATTTTGATTGGTGAGATCAACAGGTATTCCAATACTACAATTGTGCTCTAAAAATAAAATATAAGCTACAGCTTGACTGATTGCAGTATTCTTAATAATGAATGTCAACAGAATTTCATAAATTCCATGTCTAGTATACTGGATCAAGTATATTTAAAATTGTCAAACCTGTTTAGTTGTTCTACCTTAATTTTATTATTTGTGTAAAATATATATGTTATTATTAACAAGTATTTCATATTTTAAATAATAAACTCAAACTAAATAGTATAATATCTATCTATGTAATCTATATATAGTATTCAGCTAGTTTTTACATTTATTTATCTGATTATTTATTCTTTATATGACTTTTATTGTTTATCTTCCTGTTTTATTTGGTACAGCATGGCCATGACATTTGTAAATGTGTGTAAAAAATAATCATAATAAGCAATTGATCTAAATAAAATAATTGAATTAACAGTAACTTTATTCATTCATTAAATAATAAGTAATAGTGCTTAAGTTAAGTTGTTCTTAAATATATTTCATTTTTATAGCTTTTATTTGAATTTCTCGTATAAAGTTAATGACTGTAAAGAAGACTATGATTATTTGTTGAAGTTTAATTTATTAGCAATTAAAAGAATATATTAGTTTACCTATCCACTATAATACAAAGTTACATACTGTATAAGGTATAATAAGTTATGTATTACAATATTCTAAGAACTAACCAAATTGAAATTACAATTGTTCAAAAAAATCTTAATACATAATGGTATATATATATATATAGAGATTTAAGATTTAAAAAGGTAAAGTCTTTGGAATCACCTCGATAAATACGTCACAACTAAAGTTCGTTAAAGATGGAACGACCCCATTTTTCATTGGGGATTTTCTAGATTTAGGTGTTTTTTTTTTTGGAAATTCTAACAATTTTCTCTTTTTCAAAAATGTATGCCAATCCAATTCCATCTCTTCTAAAGAGTGAATTGTTCGCTTAATTTTCATTTTAATAATACAGTAATAAAATGCAATTTATAAGAAAACAATAATTGAAATTTTTTGGAAGAATCTAATGTACTGTACAGTATTTAAATGCCCTCTTAAACTTTTTGACAAAGAATTAGAAAAATCCGCGTGTTTTTAGTAAGAAAAATCCATTAGTTTTTAATAAAATGCAAAAAATAAAAACAATATTTTCCGTAATAAAATGAAAATCAGTCATTTTTGGGGAAAACTGGGTTATTTTTAGCAGGAAATGGGTAAAAATACAGTTATTTTTAATCAGAAAATAGGAAAATCCTGGTTATATTTAGTAGGAAAAGATAAAAAAAAAACCCTAATTTTTAAAGGAAAACTAAAAAAATCGTTATTTTTAGTGAAGAAAAAAAAATGAAGAAAATAAGGGATTTTCAGTTGATAAAACCATTCATTTTCAGTAGAAAAATTAACTTTTTTTTATTCAAAAAAGTAAAAACAAAAATAATTATATTTTAATATAATATGAAAGAAAATCCTATTTTTCAGAGTTTAAAATTATTTTAAAGACAAAATCCCTCTTTTTGAGTATAAAATAGTAGAACAACTGTTAAGTCCCGTTGACACATGAAAACCACTTCATCAGTTAACAGAATAAAAGATCTTCTAACTTAAAATTACGGCTGACAAGCCAGTGTAATAAATAAATTTGTGAGCAGACAAAAGACAAACTTTGGAAAGGATCAAGAAACTAATTTGAAGAGTTAAATGAATTTAAAAAAGTATATATATTTCTCGTCGTAAATCCTATTTTGAAAGTATTAAATTGGTGTAAAAGTTATTTATGTGCATACTCAATGTTGTAATATTGGATTTCCATATTATGGAAGGCATTTGCTAGCACTTCTCACGTTTGTAATAAATTATAAGTTGATTTATTAGCGGCTTTACATGTAAATTATGCAAATTAAATCATGTGGAATGTTTCATTAATTATTACATTATTGGTTTAGTCGTAATGGAAAAGATGGATGAAAAATAGAATAAAATCAAGTTTTTCTTCATATTTTCCTGCCATAAAACTTTAATCAAAATTTAGCTTATCTCTTAATTTAAAATATTTTATATTTTTTGGGTGATTTACACGAATATAGAATACATAACTATANAAAATATTGCTTAAAAAGTCAAAATTTATCAAAAGTGGAGTCATATTACATAAAATTTTCTGATAAATTTATAGTACATTTTATAATTTTGTTGTAGGTTGTTGATTAAGATTAAAACTGAAAACATTTATTATATTTTTTAATTGCCAACTGTCTATTCATGGAGTTTGTATCACATTTACAAAATCTCTATAATTACTAATCACTCTAAACTTTTCTGAAATACAGATCTAATTTTATTTTCTGTGTAAATTTTTAACATCACCAATAAGATTTTTCCTTCTATAATCATTTTTTAGATTAAACCTGACTAATAAATGGTTTAGCCTTACTAAAAATAAGCAAACTTTAAATCTGGAACATCCAGTAAATGCCTAACAAACTAAAGTGATTCCATCTATTTACCATTTCTTCCTAATTTGTCAAGAAGACAATTCATACTCAATTGCAACAATTACACTATTAGACTTTAGGATATCCAGACACACATCTTACATTGTAGGAAAATGTAAAATCAATTATTTTAATTGTAAAATTAAATAATGGTACATTAATTAAAATTTTGCAAATGTTTAATTTATATATTGAGCATAAAAGTATTTTTAGGAAAAGAAATGCAATCTGTTATGACTTAAATAAAATATGTTGTCAAAAAACATTTCAAAAATGATAAGCCAAAACAGAATATAATCTATCTTGTTGATTTTTAATTTCATTTTTTATATCTACAATATAAACTAATTAATAATATTTGTTATATATATA